ATTTTGAGACGAGTCAGACGAATCTACGATATATAGATGGTGAGCGTTTCAAGGCGCTGTCGGCTCCATATGCAAAGTTAACATTTTTTGAAAAAGATGGTCCTCGAACTGGTGCGAAAGAGCTTTTTTCGGTCAACAATTACTAAATAGCTAAAACTGCCAGGATTGAGGCGGACTTCAGTGAAATTTTGCGCAAAATTAGGTTTGTTATAGTTTGTGAACATTTCAAGTTCCTACTTGCGCCAGATTCGGAGCTGCGAATTTTTCAAGCAGAGGCTGCCGTTGTGGAAAAACTTGATTTTTTGCTCATACTTAGTAAGCACGCAAAACTTGAAACCCCGGGCGATTCAAATGAAATTCCCACCAGTTATAACCTCGAGTTTCTCCTATGAACTGAAAAAATATCAAGTTGCTACTTGCTTGAGATTTGAAGTGGGGAATTTTTCCAGCAAAGAGTGCAGTTGTTTGCAGAAGCCTAATTTAGTAAGTAGGAAAAAATCAGAATTGTGCCCGATTTCAGAAAAATTCTCAGAAACATCAGCCTCGTATCTGCTCTATAGAGTGTGTAAACGTCATGTTGACAGTTGCTCTAGATTGGCAGTTCGCAACATTTGAAACAGAGGGCGCTTTTGTATGAAAATTATTATTTTTTGGTCAATGTATTTTTACTGCCCAAAAATACCAATGCAAGGGGATTTTGATCAAATTTTCAAATCGTTCAGGAAGAGGCATGGCGAAGAGGTGGTGAAAATTTCAACTCGCTGCCTGCGCTGGCTCAAGTGTTCGGATTTTTTTAAGCAGAGCGTGTACTGGTACGAAGCCGCTTCTTTTTATGTCAACATTCACTGAGCCGCTAAAAATCAGAATCCATAGGGTTTTTCATGAAATTTTGTAGGGGTTTAGCTTTGAGTATCGCATATCGATTAGAAAAATTTCACAATATTTGAAGTACTGCGTGACAGGTCACTAATTTTTTAATCATCCGAAGCACTTATAGCAATACAGTGATAGTTGGGCCAATTTTACAGAGTCGTAAAAAATCAGCAACTAGTGCGATTTCTTTGAAACTATCGGCAGTTTTAGGCCAAGGTATCATATGTAGATGATGAGAATTTTAGGGCGCTGCTAGCTCTATGTGAGAAGTTAGGAATTTTCTAAACAGCCGGTGCACTTGCGTCAGATCCCTCACATTTGCGCCAACTTTTTAAGTGGTCAAAATTAAAAATTTATTCAAAAAATTGGGAAAGTCGTTACCTGCTCTAGATTATAACTGAGGAATATTCCAAACAGAATGTGCAGATGCATCCAAACGCACGTGTACCAATACGACCTCAATAATGCATTTCATGCAAAACTTTGCAAATGAAAAGAAAACGCTTAGTTTGAGTGAAAAGTGAAAATGATGGCAACGTAATTAAGACGATCTCTGCAAAGATAAATCTCCTACTCGTTGGCCTGCGTTTTCTTATTTCAATTACTGTTCCCTTCGGCTCTATGACAAATGGCATCTAATTCGTCTGCAGGCTTATTGTTTCCCTCTTGCGTTTTAAATGAAGAAATATAATGAAGAACCGTCATAAATTTGAGAGGAATGGAACGGTCATGGAACTCGGCATGCTAATGGAGTTTGACGATAAATTTGCTTTTAGCAAAATAGACGATAAAGACGTTGATTTTTTTTGGGGGGCGGTAGCAAATAAAGTCTGTTTTACAACATTGTCCACATCTCCAACATCGAGCAATTAGTGGATGTTTGCAACTGTTCGAGCATTGTTCGACTAACTAGACTAACTACAAATTAGAACTGCCAGCTAAATTGCCGTGAGTTATTTGAAACGTTGTTTGTCGAATTTGTTTCGTAAATATGACAACATTTTAATGGGTAAGTGAGGCTCGTTAGCTAGCGGCATAGCAATTAATACATTATGTTTAAGTGAACAAACAGGTAATATGTGCCATGCCGACTAAGCATTGGCCCCGTAAAGTCAATAAGAGAACATTTTTACCCCGAAAATGTCGAAAAAGTCGAAAATTCCCACACAAAACCTTGAGTTTGATGACATAGAAAATGTGTTCGGGATTCCCTCACAGCACATGCTTTCAAAAGATAACAACCCTATTGAATTGCCATCAGCTCATTAAAAACTACTTAGCCCAGATTAGCGCTCGGTAGCTGAAAAGATTCGAGCCTTGAAACTGCTAGATTTTATCAGAGCGCCATTACATATCAGCTTTGATACTAAAAATTCTGGAATTTTGTTCTGGCCGCGCAAATTAAGCCGGAATCTTTTCAGGGAAAAGCTCCATTTCCCCTTGTTAAAATGGCACTAGAACACTGATAAATAATTTCCTTAAAATGCCAGCGTCCCAAAATCGCTCAATCAACGATCAATATTAACAAGCGACTTTTGCCCTTTCCAGACCCCGACTTTCCAGAGTGATTCGTCAAGTAACAGCCAGTCTAAGAAGGGATTTTTGTCTAAGCGGCAAAATAAAAGTGAAATATGAAAGGGCGAGTCTCTGGAGGAATCAATTTCCCGAACGACAGCAGTATTATTTATCAATTTATGTGAGTAAGGGAGGTTTAGCCCGAACTATCCGATGGGATTTTCTTGCAAAAATCCTCACGGAGCATTAAGAGCAGTTGGTTTAAAGTCAACGATTTGGAAAGCCAAAAGTGGCAGATTATTTCGAAGAACTCAAATCTAGTTGGGCATTTTATGAGTTTTCCAACGCGAAGAAGTCAAAGAATATTTTTTAGTGATTTTTTAACAGCTTTGACTCGATCCATTGAGCCGTTTCTTTGCTGGAAAACAATCTACTGACCTCTAAAAACACCCAAGCAAAATGTAGATTTTTAGCAGAAATATTTGACTTCGACATACTTCGAGCACGATCCTGGAAAACAAATCCATCACATCTACAAAATCCACACATGAAACTCAAAAACTCTTGAAAACTGCCTGATGATGGTTGAAAATCCAGACTTTTGACTTGCTGCACTTGTTAGTTCCTGAGTAACTGAACACCAAACCACTTCCAAAAACAATCTTGTTTGAAAAGTGGTCAAAAAGGGCCTGAAGTTAACTGAAAATTGAAACTTTTTCCACAAATAGAACGCACTTTTTCTTACAAAATAAACCCGAAACTGAATCTCCACCTTCACTGGCTTCTGAGCAATTAAATGCCAAACACCGGCCTAAATAAGCAACTACATAGATCTGCCGTAAGTAAAAAAAATCGCGAAAATAGCTTGATTATGACCCAAAAACGAAGCTTCTACTCCGTATGAAACGGATATGCCAAACAAAATACATGCAGAAGTAATTTTTAGTTTGTCCAAGTTCTGCAGAAGTAACTGCTCAACTGCGGTCGGCACAAAATACAACCAAAATTTGAAAATTTGAAAAATTGTCAAAAATTGCCTGAAGACGACTGACAATCGAAACTTTAGCCACATACAGAAGAGACCTGGCCCTACTTAACGCATCCAAAGGCGACTTTCTCACTTAGCAACTTGAAGAGAAATTTGCAAGAAAACGGGACCAAACCCGAAATTCGGTAAATTTTTCACCGAAAAGGAGCTAAGCAAAGATTGTCAGCAGTTTTTGAGCAGTTTTGACTGATTTATAGTTGAAAAGACAAAAATCGGGAAACCCGTAGAAAAATTTGGTTCATTTCATGCAAAAATCTTCTTGGAACTTTAAGAGCATTTAATTAAAAGCCAACATTCCGGGGAGGTCAGAAGTTGCAGATTTTTTCGTGGAAACTCTAAAATCGTACGGAATCATACTACTTTGATCGAAAAGGAGCTGAAGAAGGATTTTTAGCAGTTTTCAAGCAATTTAGACTGTTTCTTAGGTGAAAG